TAGTTAATGAAAACTTACCATAATTCCCCCACTTGCCAAAGTCGCATATTGAGCCAAAAAGGCATTCCACTGCTTCGTAATCACGATGGTCGAAATGACCCAAACTACAGTCAATATGAAAAATCCAACACAAAAATAGCTCAATCTTTTAACCACTTTGTGCTTGGTTAGAATATTAGGAAGGAGTAACAACACAATTAAGGTGTCACCTGCAACAATCATTTAAATTATTTCTCAAAACAAGAACGATAAACCAGGAAATTATTACCTTCCAAATTTTCTTTTACATCCGTCAGTTCCATCTTTCATTACACACTTGTTAACTGTCTGAAGGTTAGGATATGTCTACGACAACGACAATCGGTCATTAAAAGAACAACACACTCTTCGTTCATAAACTGGTTCTTTAATAACCACAGAGAGAGAAACACACACTTATGGAGGTTATCATTAAAAAAAAAATCGGAAAATTAAATCTTAGGTATAATTTTTCGAAAAGCTGGATTTATTGCATTTTATTCCAGGGACGAAAAAATTGCGGTGCCTAAATAATAAATTTAGACCAACTTTTCGATTTTGTAATTTTGCAATTTTTTGATTTTTAAGTGTTCTAAATTTCAGTTTTCAACTTTTTGATTTTTCGGTTTAATTACTTTACAATTTTTGGATTTTTCATTTTCAATTATTCGATTTTTCAATCTAATAATTTTGCAATTTTCAATTTTACAAATTAATAAATTTTCGAGTTTACAATTATTAAAATTAAAATATCAAAAAAATGAAACATGGAAAAATTGAAAAATCCCACAACTTAAATATAGAAAAATTGATTAATCGATAAATCGAGAAATTGAAAAATCGAAGAGAAATTGAAACGTCGAAAAACTGAGATATCGAAAAATTGAAAAATCAAAAATTTAAAAATCGAGAAATCGAGAGTCGAAAAACCGAAACACCGAAAAAACGAATAATGGGAAAATCAAAATATCGAAAAATCAAAAAATGTAAACGTCGTAAAGTTGTAAAATCGCAAAATAGAAAGATCGAAATGTCGAATAATTAAAAAATTGAAAAACCGATTAATCGAAAAATCGAAAATTTAGAAACGTCAAAGTTTAAAAGTGGGAAAATTGAAAAATCGTAAAACAGAAATATCTGAAAATCAAACTGAAAAATCCAAAAATCTAAAATTTAAGACAAAAAATAAATTGAAGAATCGAAAAATTGAAAAATCCCAAAATTCCAATACCGAAAAATGTATCAATCGATAATTCGAAAAATTGCAAAATCGAAAAACTGAAAAATCCCAAAACTGAAACATCGTAAAACTGAAATATCGAAGAATTAAAAAATCGAGAATTCAGAAAGTCGAAAGATCGAAAAAGTGAAAAATCAATAAATTAAAGAATTGAAAATCTGAACATCAAAAAATTGAGAATTCGATAACTCGAGAAACCGAAAAAACGAGAATAGAGAAATCAAAATACCGAAAAATCGAATAATTAGGAAGTCAAAAAGTCAAGAAGTCGAAGAATTTTTAATTTTTAAAGGTATCCAATTTTTCAGCGATCCGAATTTTATTGTTTCGATTTTTTTATTTTTTGATTTTTAATTTCAGTTTTTCATTTTTTCGATTTTCAATTTTCTAATTTTTCTATTTTACAGTTGTCTGATTTTGCAATTTTTCAATTTTAAAATGATGCGATTTTACAGTTTTGAAATTTTGCAATTTTTGATTTTTCAATTATGAGATTTTCCAATTTATCGATTGTTAAGTTTTTCAAAACGAAAAATCAAAAAATTGATGAGATTACTGAGGAATCTGTAAAATGAAATATTGAAAAATTAATGAACCGATAAATTTGATAAATCGAAAAATTGGAAAATCAAAAATTGAAAAATCAAAAAGTTGAAACTTCAAATAGTCGAGAAATCTAGAAACAGGAAAATCAAAAAATCTAAAAGTCAAAAAATCGAGAAATCGAAAAATCGAAACAGTAAAACGCCAAAAATTGAAAAGTCTAAAAATTTAAAAGAAAAAGAATCGAAAAATTGGAAAAACGAAAAATCGAGGAATCAAAAAATTGAAAACTGAAATATATATCAGAGAATTGAGTAATTTAAAAATCGATATATTGAAAAAGCAAAAAAACTGCAAATTCCCCAACTGAAATATCGAAAATTTAAAAAGTCGATAAGAAATCGAGACATCTAAAAATTTTAAAAATCAAAAAATTGAAGAATCTAGAAACTGAAAATATTCAAAATCGAAACATCGAAAATTTGGAAAATCGAAAAATTGAAATACTTAATAAAAATCTATAAACTGAAAAAACAAATGAACAAGAAATCGAGAAATCGACAAATTTAAAATATAAAAAATGAAAATATTGAAGAATCGAAAAATTGAAAAGTCTAAAAGCCTAAAAGTCGAAAACCCGACGAATTGAAAAGTCGAAAATCGAAATATCCCAAAATCTAAATACCGAAAAATTAATAAAAATTGCAAAATTGAAAAATTAAAAGACCCAAAGATCGGGAAAACTGAACCGAAATATTGAAATCTCGATAAATCCAGAAATAAAAAACTGAAAATCCTAAAGATCGATTAATCGAAAAATCACAATATTTAAAAATTCGAAAAAATTAAAAATAGAAAAAATTAAAATTTTAAAATTGGAAAAACTGAAAAATTAAAAAATCGACGAAATGAAAATTCGAAAAAAGTTAAATTTAAAAAATCTCAAAATTGAACATTCGGAAAAAAAGGAAAATCGAGAAAACGAAACATCAAAAAATCGAATACCTAATCGAAGAATCCAAAGATTGAAAAATGAAAAATATAAAAAAGCCAGAAATCAAAACGAAAAATTGAAATACTGAGAAATCCCTAAAATGAAATATTGAAAAATTAATGAATCGATAAATTGATAAACTGAAAAATTGAAAAATCAAAGAAAAATTCGAGAATCCAAAGATTAAAAATCCCAAAATCGAAAAATTGATAAAATCAAAAATAGAAAAACCTATAATTAAAAAAATCCAGATTTAATATGGCGAAATTGAATAACCGAAAAAATAAAGAAATCGAAAAATCAAAAAATCAAAAGTCCACAAATCGAAAAATTTAAGCGAATAACTGAACAACCTCTAAAATGAAATATTGGAAAATTAATTAAAAATTTCGATATACTCGAAACATTAAAATCTGAAACATCACATCGAAAACTTGGAAAATCGAGAGTTGAAAATCGAAGAATCGAAATATTTAAAAATCCCTAACTGAAACGTCCGAAAACTAAAAAAATGGATAATTGAATAAGTAAGTAATTGAGATATCGTAAAACGAAAATTTTAAAAATTGACAAACGGAATTGTTTTGAATTTTTTGAAAAATTTTGATTTTTTCGAAAAATCTAGTGTCTAGAATAAAAATTCAACCAGGATTCATCAACTATAAATTCACTCCTTTTTTAAACATTTAATTAACATTTACTTAACAAAATTGTAAGATGACTATTTTTTCCCCCAAAAATGTGGATACCTAGCGTAAAAACTCACCACGGATTCATAAACCACAAGTGGACGAGTACACTAGAATCTACGGTTCTTCAGATTTGATTAATAAAAAAAAGAAATGTTATTATTTGAAGCTGACAATTTGTCACTCATTTAAATCTGCTCCCAGCCGCCACGACCAGTTTCACAACCGCCGCCCCGTCTAAAAATTTGGCAACAAAAGCCCTCAAAACCCCGACACAATCTGCATATTTCACGAGAATCCCCTGAATATCTATAGGATGTTTATAACCGTCCGACATCCGCCACGAAACAGGGCTGCGTGTTCTGGCACGTGTCCAGCCCGATTTGCATCCACCAAAAACGTGCCGGTAATCCCTCACACGCCCCCGCGCGTGCCGAAACAATAATTGTTGCTAAATTATGAAACCGCAAATGTAAATCTTTGCAAATTTGAATTCGGGCTAAGCCGGCGCCGGATCCCTCGGCCAAATTATTTTATCTCGGCAGGTTTTCGCAGTTTTATGCCGGCCTTCCGTTCCAAATCGGTTTAATTTCATTTCGGCTTTTTCATGCAACAACATGTAAATTAGTGTTTACGCGCAAGAATGAAATGTTTTCTTGTTTGGAATAAAGGGAATAAATTAGGCGCGGCCGAGGTAATCCGGGAAGGGAAGGGAAGCGATGTTACGCAAAAGTCGCTTTTTGCCACGGGAAGTAAATGCGGACGTTATTAATCTCCGAACGAGGAGTATCGGTTTAATAAGCTGATGAATATCAAGACCGGAGGGTAATCGAGCCGGTTTTCGCGTCGTGATGGATTTTTTCGTGTTTTAATTATGTTTCGTGGGGGTTTTTGTCAAAAGTACGAATTTGTCTTGTTTGTTGGGGGTTGGACGCTGAAAAGCGGCTTTGTTCTTGGTGGAGGCGCCGGGCGACTGTATTTAATTTTCAAACATGATGTTAAAAAAAAAATTGTGGAAGATTATTTAGAAACGACTTCTCACGCCTTTGGAGTACAGTCGAGCAAATTCCGCTTCTTCGAAAAGTTATAAAAAAAGGAAAAAGATATTTATTTCATGAAGGTACGAAAAGAACTAACTTAATGTAACTCGGGCGACTGTATTTAATTTTCGAACATCCCGCTAAAAAAAAATATTAATCGCACGCTACTTTGGCGCAAAAACTCAATTAAACACTTTTTCCCACCAACTGCGCTCCGTTAAGTTGAACTTTCGCCCTTCCAGCCTACCAAATTCGCAAATAAATACAATCAACGGCGCTCTAATTTTCGACTTTAATTCGATTAAATTCGCCACGGCTCCCCGTATAAGCCAAAATTAAGAATTTAATTGCTTGTTGTGTCGCCGCCGCCCTACCAATAAAAATCCCCATTAACCCATACGCGACCCATAAAGAAAACCCGAAAATCGTCATCTGCGGCCGCTATTGAATTTTGATCTTTTCTTTCTCGATTACAGGATTTGGAAACGTTCGATCTGGAAGATTTCAAATACAATTCCGTAAATATAACGGCGTTCAGGATCGTCGACGTCGACCACCCACACACGAAGGAAACCCTCGAAGTTATGGAAAAATTCCAGCCGATTGGTCATGCAATCCTCAACAGAAGCGGAATTATTCAGGTAATAGTTCTGCTTTGCACCGCGTGGTAGAAATAAGGGCGGCTTGCGCATTCCTCGAGCCGCAATATCGCCCGCGATGAATTCGCGAAATCAAAAAAATAATAATAAGTGTCTGAGGAAGCCGAGCCGTCCCTGTCCATCACGCGCCCTCGCCCTTCCGCCGCCCTCATTAAATAGATGCTCATTTCAGGCGGAGCCTGCCCTTATGTATGACTCTGTGTATGTTTTTGCTAAAGGCCTCACCCTGATGAATTCCACAAAGCCAATGAACCTATCTTGCGACATCGAAAAGCCCTGGGATGATGGATTGTCCCTCCACAATTATTTGAACTCGGTGGTAAGTCGATATATTTTTTAGAGCTGTCGCGAGGCGTCGCCGCGGTGTTTTGACGAGTGAAAAATAGAAGAGCGCTGCGAGTAATTCGGTCGGAAGTAATGTCGAAATAAATTACGGCCGGATTAAATTTACAAGTTTCCGGGTTTGATGTGGCACATGCGAGGACTCGTCGTCTCGAAATGTATCGTTATGAAAATTTAAGGACCTAAATGCGATTTCGCACGTGTACATGCGACGTCTGTCGACGGAATTTCGTTGAAGGGGCGAGGTTTCAGGTTTGGGGAGGATTTATGGGGTGAAGATTGTGAGATTTTGTGTGAATTTGTCTTCATTTTTGTTTGCTTTTTCGAACTATTTGTCTCTTTGTGTTTTCACCAAAACTTTTTCTGAGGTACACCACATCGCGTCAACTGCACGATTTCGTTCAGAATTTTCAGTTTATTCGTGATTAGATAAAGATCCAGATTTGCGTTCTGACTTTATCCTCTTATTGTTCGTCTTGTGGATCTTCCCACATACCGAAGAATTCTAATGTAAGTTTACTAGTAACCGAAAGTAGACCAATTTCTATATCTTCAGTTTTGCCGTTGCCTCTTCTTTTCTCATTTTTACAATCTTGAGGTTTGTTGGTTTATTTTTTCCAAAATGTTTCCATTGCACCGAATTTTCTATGTTGCCAAAAGTTAATAGATTTACCATTTATTTTCTTCTAACATTTCTTCGCTTCGTTGTTAAGGGGTTTTCTTGTACATCTTCTATAACAGTTTTTCTACAGAGTCATTTTTTTAATTTCCAGTGGTCTAATTTTTTTCAAATGTTTCGTATTCTTTGTTTTCTGTATTAGGGTTAACATAACTTAATAAGATATTTCCAAAATAACCCAACACAACATAGAACTTTACTTTAATCTTGAACCAAATCCTAAAAATTTCTGCGTCTGGTCTTATAGTAGATTATTTTCAGTTTTAGCCATTATATACATGGCATTACATTTTATTAAATTGTAGCCGCTCTGTTGAGCTCTTTGGACTCGGTTAGTCGTGGGGAGTCAGTCCACCATTTCCTCTTCTGAATTTACAATTGCCTGTACGTTTTCGCCTGCTCTACTATTTCTTTCCACTGTGTCCGGTCCTGGATTTTCTTCGACCATTCTTGTATATCTAGCATTGACAAATCCTTTCTTACTTGATCCTCCCACCTGATTTTTGGTCTTCCTCTTGATCTGTTATTGTCAGGGTTCCATTCAGTAATTTTCCTCGCGTGTTTGTTTTTCTCCATTCTTTTTAGATGACCATACCAGCGTATTCTACGTGCCTTTATCGCTCTTACTATGTTTTCTCCTTTGAGGATATCTTCTATTTCGTGGTTCATTAATGTTCTGTATTCTTGGTCTTGTATTTTTTTCATCCCCATTATTCTTCTGACTATTTTTCTTTCAAATCTACTCATCTTTTCTTCTGCATCTCTAGTTAGGCTCATTGTTTCTGCTGCGTATGTCACTACAGATCTTATTGCTGCCTTATAAACTCGCAACTTTGTATCTTTGGATATTCTGCTACTCTTCATGATGCTGCTATATTTGAAATACGCTCTGTGACCAGATTGTATTCTTTGCGTTATTTCCACTTGCCGTTTGCCCTCATTATCAATAATGCTTCCCAGATACCTAAAGTTTTCAACAATTTCAAACTTAAAATTTCCTATTACAATTTCTTTTTTGTCTCTTCCTTCTTGTCTCTTACTTGTTGATAAATATTTTGTCTTCTCCACGTTAATATCCAATCCTCTTTTGCTTGCTTCATTCGTAATTACTGCTAGTAATTTACTAAGACTTTCCTTGTCTCTCGCAATTAAAGCTAAGTCATCAGCATATGCTATGATTTGCACTGACTTATTTATAATTGTTCCTTCCGCATGAGTGTTCTTAACTATTCTGTCCATCACAATATTAAATAAAGTAGCTGACATACCATCACCTTGTCTAACCCCGGCGTTGAAAGCAAATTCTTCAGAATTTCCATTCTTTGCTGCTACTACTGCTTTTGAGTTCTTTATGCACATTCTGACTAAGTTTATTAGTTTTCTAGGTATCCCCATCTTTTCCATATCTTGGACCATCGCGTCTCTGTTGATACTGTCAAACGCTTGCTTAAAGTCGACGAAGAGTATATGTATGTTGATATTGTGCTCACAGCATTTTTCAATTATTTGGTTCATACTATGGATTGCATCGATTGTTGATCTTCCACGTCTGAAGCCATATTGATATTCCCCTACTTCTGTTTCCGTAATTTCTTGTAACTTCTTATTTATTAAACTGGTTAATAATTTATATGCAGCATTAAGCAGACTAATTCCTCTGTAATTTGTACATAAATGTGGTTTGCCTTTTTTCAGTATTGGAATTATTATTCCTGTGTCCCATTCCCTTGGCATCTTTTCAGTAATCCATATACTCGTAATTAACTCGTACATCTTCTCTTCTAGTATTTGACCTCCATATTTAAACATCTCATTCACTATACCATCTATACCTCCTTCTTTGTTCATCTTTAAGCATTTCAATACATTGAAGTATTCTTCTTTTGTTGGTAGGTATTGCTCATCACTGGTGTCTCTGTATACTATCTGATTTTGGTCCATTATATCTGCATCGTAATCTCTTCTCAGTAGTTTCTGAAAATGTTTTTCCCAATCTTTACTATCAATGTTCACGATTGTTTGTTTCCTATTCTGTTTTCTGATGTACTGATATAGCTTCACATTGTTCTTATTGTCTTTTTCTAATTCATCCATTGTTTCTTCAATCCATTTCGTTCTTTTGCTTAATAGTAGTTTTGTGCATTCTTTTCTTATCGTCTTGTAATTCTGGTATTCACTTTGTTTACCTGATTTTAGCCATCTTATTCTTGCATTCCTTTTCCTGTTTACAATCCACTCGCACTCGTCATCAAACCATTTCTTAAACGCCCTCTTTGGTTTTCTGCCTGCTATTTTTTCTATCGCTTTTATCATACAATTTTTTAAATGTCCCCAAGTATTGTCAATATCATTTTCTTCTACTTCCGCTGCCAGCTGTTTTCCTAACTCACTTTCATATTCATCTTTTTTCTCTTTTAATTCTTCTAAATTCCATCTTTTCTTATTTTCCGTTTTTATTTTCTTATTGACTATCGTTCTCATCTTCATTTTCACTATTATCAGATGATGATCGGTATCAACATTTGCTCCTCTGTAAGATCTTACATCTTGGACCATCTTTTCTCTCTTTTTTGATATCAAAGCATGGTCGATCTGGTTACCTGTAGTTTTGCCTGGTCGCATCCATGTCACTTTGTGTTCTGGTTTGTGCATAAACTTTGTGCTCACAATAAACATATCTATCCCTGCTGCCAGGTTGCACAGCCTCTTCCCATTGTCATTCGAGATATTGTGCAATGAATGTTTCCCTGCTACTTTTTCCAGGTATTTCTCTTTTCCTATTTTGGCGTTGGTGTCCCCAATAATAATCATTGTGTCATGTTTTGGTATTGATTCACATGCTCTCTCTAAGTAGTCATAGAAATCGTCTTTATCGTTCTCGCTTGCATCTTCCGTAGGGGCATATACATTTACTAGTGTAATGTTAGCAATCTTATTTTTGATTCTTATCGTAGATATTCTACCATTAATCCTTTTAAAGTCTATTATCATATCTCTATATTCTTTGCTTATCATAAATCCTGTTCCATTTCTTCCCTGCTTATCTTCTCCGGCATACAATAGTGTAAAATCCTCTTTGTCGACTTTCCCTTCGCCGCTCCATCTTATTTCTTGTAAAGCTAATATTCCAATATTATAATTTTTCATTTCCCTTGCTATTTCTTCCATTTTTCCTACTCCTAGCATTGTTTGTATGTTCCAAGAGCCAATTTTCGTCGAAGCTGTTTTCTTGTTCCGCTTTTTCCAATTCATTTGCCCATTCATATCCCTATTCTTAGCCTTGTCGTCTTTAATTGAGTTCAGTCCTACCTCAGTTATTAGTTTTTTGCAATCTTGCTTTGCTGTGTCACCTCCTCACTTAACGGCGACCTTTCACTAGAGGTTCGTTTATCTTTGCTCTTAACTGTCATTTCAAAGTGCTCTTTACCATACACCTTTCCGTCTATGATCATTTTGTTGTACCTGAGATATGCTGTACTTCCTTGCTGTCTAACTTGCTGTAAATAAGGTGTTAGGCATTTTCTTTCTGCTTGTACCTTTTTTGAGAAATCATCATTGATCCATATGTCCGATCCTTTCAGATTTTTTGTTAATTTGTAAATTTCCATCTTCGTTTTCCATTTTTGTAGCTTCACAAGTATTGGTCGATTTCCATTCGGCTTATATGTACCTATTCTTCTTATCTCAGATGCATCTATCTCTACATCAACCTTAACTCCCATTTTCGTCAGTATATTCTGAATTTTCTCTGTTAGTTTTTCCTCTTTTTCGTCGTTTTCGTCAGCTACTCCCTGAATAATAATGTTGTTTTTTCGGACTTCTTTTTCTAATAGTTCGAGTCTACTATCCTGGTCTTTAATTGACTCCTTTAATAACAGATTTTCTTTCCTTATTGTAATCATAGCTTCTGTGTTTCTATCAAGTTTTTCCTCCACCACTGTTAATTTGCGATTTATTGCGGAGAACATTTTCCTGATTTCAGTCATTTCGCTCTCTTCTTTTTCAGACATTTTAGTAGTCAATCTTCACTGTTTGAATAACACTTAGTCCTATCCTGCCCTTCTTTTTGCAGCGCTGTTTATCACAAGCGATAAGGCTCTCCGCCCCGGTCGACCCGTCGAAAGCGTGACCTTCTCCTGCGCCGCTCGTGAATACTACTAGTTGAAAAACAATTCCAATGTTTACCTCTTAATATAGATGTACGATGATTAACACAAGGCACATACACCCTTTACTATCTTATTTGAAACCTGTTATACTACACTACTTAAACTTGTAATTATTTTGCGCTAGATTTCACTTTCTCTGCACAGCTGATATTCATGCGTCTCAGCAAGACCAGACACCACAGTTATGTTTCTATGTTGCCAAAAGTTAATAGATTTACCATTTATTTTCTTCTAACATTTCTTCGCTTCGTTGTTAAGGGGTTTTCTTGTACATCTTCTATAACAGTTTTTCTACAGAGTCATTTTTTTAATTTCCAGTGGTCTAATTTTTTTCAAATGTTTCGTATTCTTTGTTTTCTGTATTAGGGTTAACATAACTTAATAAGATATTTCCAAAATAACCCAACACAACATAGAACTTTACTTTAATCTTGAACCAAATCCTAAAAATTTCTGCGTCTGGTCTTATAGTAGATTATTTTCAGTTTTAGCCATTACGAAGGCAATATTTTTTCCCAACGAAACATTCTAGGAATGTCTTAACCTCTTTTTTGAACTCTGATTGTTCAGACTTGTTTCTTGTACTTTCAGTTTCCAGCTGTACTTTTTCTAAATTATTATCTAATTGCCCGCATATTTTAGAAATACGTTTTTCCAATTTTATCTTGCTTATGGACCTATTTTGCCCTATCCAACTTCACAAGGTTGAGTTTCTCTGCAGTTTTGGAATATTCTAGACCACAGATCTTCCTTCAAATCAAAATATAAAAATATTCTAATTGAACCAACCTTAACAAAATTCTATGGAAACTCTTTTTTTCTTCTTTCGTCCTCCGACATTTTAATCTCATAGAATTCTCTAGAATCTATTTTCTACTTCTGATTCTACGTCTACCCAACTTGCTTCAAACTTCTACATTAAAACTGGGATTTGTATTTTTTTTAGATATGTATTTTTAACACACTAACGTGCAGTAAGGATTTCCTTTTTTAACCCAAGACCTGACTGACTGACTTTTGATGATCCTTATAGAATTCTTTGGAATTACTTTTCTTCTTATTTTGTTTTCTGTCATTTGATTTTAAAGATTTCTTTAGAATCTTCTTCTTCCTTCCCCCTTCATTCTAATCTACTACTACACTATTCAACTACTTCTAATTCTATTTCCGCGCGAGTTACTTCAAATTTCAAAGTTAGAACTTAGCTCTGCGTTGTTTTTAGATATTTTTGGCACACTGACTTTTAACAAGAATTCTTTTTCTCAACCCAAGTCCTAATTGACTGACTTTTAAAAATCCTTCATGTTATTCAAATACAATTTTTTCTGGAATTTTGAGTTTTTTCTTCTTCTTTCGTCTTACGTCATTCTAATCTAAGAAAATTCTTTAAAACTCACTTCATTCTTCTTTCTTCTTTCCATCATCCTAATCCGCTGCTTCACAACTACTGCTACTTCTAATTTTACTTCTACCAAATTTAGTTCAAATTTCATCCATAATATTTAGGTTTGGGATCTTTCTGGATATTTTTATATATTTTTCCAAACTAGCTTTTAACCAGAATTCTCTTTCTTAACCCAAGTCCTGATTGACTGACTTTTGATGATTTTCCATGTCTTTGAAATACTACTACTTTCTGGAAAACAGCACTTTTTCCTTCGTCACTTTTCTAATAGAATTCTTCGAAATTCCTTATCTTCTTTAATATTCCGTCATTCTAATCTACTGCTTCACTAATCCACTTGTTCTAATTCTACTTCTACCAAACTTAGTTCAATCTTCAACCATCAAACTTAGGTCTGCATTTTTTCCATAAGTTCTTAGACACACCGACCAGGATTTTCTCTCTCAACCCAAGTCCTAATTGACTGACTTTCGAAGATTCTCGATGTTATTTAAATACTATTTCTTTCTGAAATGCTGCTTTTGCCTTCTTCACTCTTCTGATAGAATTCTTTAGAATCTATTTTTTTTCTTTTTCCTTCTCCCGTCATTCTAATCTGCTGCTTCACTAATCCATTATTTCTAATTTTATTTCTATGGAACTTAGTTCAAACTTCAACCATTTTTCATTTGATGGTCCTCCATGTTAGTTAAATACTATTTTTTCGAATGTTGTACTTTTCCCTTCTTCACTTTTCTGATAGAATTCTCTGGCATCTTTTTCCTTTTTCGTCTATTCTAATAGAATTTTTTAGAAGCCATGTTTTTCTTTTTTGTTTTCTCGTCATTTTAGTCTACTGCGTCACTAATCCACTAGTTGTAATTCTACTTCTAGCAAACAAAGTCAGTCCAAACTTCAACCATTTAACTTGAGTTTGCGATTTTTTCTAGATATTTTTTGGCGCACTCGGTTTTAAGCCGGATTTTCTCTCATAACCCAAGTCCTAATTGACTGATTTTAATAACTCTCCATGTTATTTAAATACTGTTTCTTTCTTGAATCTCTCTTTTTCTGTGATCACTTTTCTAGTAGAAATTTGCGGAAACCCTTTTCTTCTTCTTTTTAATTTTCCGTCTTTCTAATCTAACAGAATTATTTGCAATCCATTTTCTTCTTCTTTCTTCTCCCGTCATTCTAGTCTACTGCTTCACTAATCCACTTGTTCTAATTCTATTGCTACCAAACTTAGTTCAATCTTCAACCATCAAACTTAGGTCTGCGTTTTCTTCTAGATTTTTTTGGGCACACCGACCAGGATTTTCTCTCTCAGTCCTAATTGACCCCATGTTATTTAAATACTGTTTTTTTCTTTGATGCTGCACTTTCTCCTTCTGCACTTTTCTGAAAGAATTTTTGGAATTCATTTTTTTCTTATTTATTAATCTTTCGTCATTCTAATCTAATAGATTTATTTACAATACATTTTCTTCTTCCACTGCTTCTAATTCTTCTTCTACCAAACTTTGTTCAAACTGCAACCATAAAATTTGGGTCTTGGATTTTTTAGATATTTTTTGGCATACAGAATTTTAACCAGAATTCTCTTTTTCAACCTAAGTCCTGATTGACTGATTTTTGATGATCATCCATGTTATTTATATACTATTTCTTTCTGGAAAACTCCATTTTCTCTTTCTTCAATTTTCTGATAGAATTCTTTGGCATCCATTTCCTTCTTCTTTGGCTTTCCGTCATTCTAATTCAATAGAATTCTTAGGAATCCATTTTATTCTTCTTTCTTCTCTCGTCATTCTAATCAATTGTTTCACTAATCTACCACTTCTAAACCTACTTCTATCAAACTCAGTTCTATTTTCAACATGTTTTTCTAGACATTTTTTGGCACATTGACTTTTAACTAAACTTTTCTTGCTTAACCCAAGTCTTGACGATTTTTGGAATGCTGAGTCGAGATTATTCTGTGTTTCCAGAATTCCACTACCAGGAGGTTCTTGACAATAGGATTGATTTTAGAATTATGTAGACGAAGAGAAAAGTTTTCTCAACTAAATTATTAACTTCATAAAAAAATGAGCAAAGCATGAATAATCTCTGTTCGAGTCTCAACCTCCCATAAAGCAAATAAACGAAAAAAGACCCGTCAATAGTGATTATTATTTGTCGGTTGTTGATTTCGTAATTTAGTGGTAGGTAAAATTTCTGAAGAAAATTTTTGCCATACTTACTTAGTTCATAAAAAGGTATTTAAATTTATTAAAACGAAATACTTACAAAGAGTTATTTACTATAATATATGTAGTTTCTTACAGCTTGACTTCTTCCCAGAATAGTTTCTCTAATTTAGTAAAATTTGACTAAACTAACACAGATTTTTATGCATTTTTGGTAAAATAAAGAAAAGGCAAAAAAAACAACCTAATCCATAAATAGAGTACGACAGCCAACGGTGGTGGGGGAAGCCACAGGTAAGATCTAGATTAGGTAATAATAACAAGTAGGTTAGTTTAGTCAGAAAAAATACAGTCGATTCACTCGTCACGACTCAGAGCTTGCTAATTTGTTAAAAAGCTTTTAAAAAATTCATTCCCCAGACTGACAGTCCATTACACGTGCAGATAACCATTAATAAAAAGCGATATTCGACGAATGAATGATTTAATATCCTACAACTACATACATACTTGATAAATATTAATGAAAGGAAATGGAATAAAGTCGATTAAAAAAGTCGGCGGAATCGAGTACGATTCGGTTAATTGTTAATGCCTTTTTAAATCTACTTCGTTTCAGCACATCCGCTTTACTGTTCGGTTTTTATCGTCCTTTATCCCGACTCTATCCTCTCGATCCCGCCTGCCTCCGACAAATATTTCATCGGCTGTGTGACGTAGAGCACAAATAGGTCAGAACTAAGTGGATAACACATGCTTCGACTTGTCTTTAGTTTAAGTTCCGGAAGGAATTTGTCACAATCGCAACCGGAACTTTTACTAGATTTACGTACTGGACAAAATATGCAAGGCACGCTTCACCAATATGATTCGTTCCACGTAGATCTATTAACATAATTGATAGTTCGGCTGGTTCGAAAATAAACGCTAATTGAAGCGTTGTTGGTTTTGCGGCACGAAAACAAACGCAACGTTTTAATTCAAGCTGCAACGTTTTTGTGATATTTTTCACGTGTCGCTTTTAGTTTCCTTTGTGATTCCATCACACGCACTCCATCCCCGATGACACTTCCTCCGCCCCCCGCACTCGCGCTTAAGATGCCGAATGCACGCGAGAAAGTTGGAAATCCTTTTCCACTTCCTTTCACAACTACACCCGAATAAAACACATCAGAACAACAAAGTTTCTTCGTTCCTATGAGTAGTACGCGCCGCCGCCGAATGTAAATATTTTAGATGACACCCGATATCGCACGTAGGGGCGAAAACTTCGGCCAGTGTTCTTTTTCCAGAACGATTATCACGGGTTGACCGGCGACGTCGAGTTCAGCGGCGGGAAGAGGGCCAACTTCAAGCTGGACCTCCTCAAGTTGAAGAAGGAAGAGATCAGGAAAGTGGGGCAGTGGACGCCGTCGGGGGGCATCAACATCACGGACCTGAACGCTTTCTACGAGAGTCACGCGCCCAACATCACCCTCGTCGTCATGACCAGGGAGGTGAGTGGGGCGGGGGCGGAGTTTGACAACACTTTACCTAATAAGGGCGCTTTGTAAAGTGTCACACGAGCGTCAACGGCGACCTTAAAAAGTTCCACATTTTTGCAACTCGGAGCAGCTTTAACACCTAACTTGGCAATATTTTTTTGTTCGTAATTGGTAACATTGCGTTCTTAAAATCATACCAACTTTTCGCGTAGGTAATTTCGCCATAAAAATAATTAATCAGAGTTTATTCCGGAAGGTAAACCCGTCAGTAATAATTATGTTCTCGCAATAATCTCATTTTTACCCACAAGTTTCAAGCGTATAAATTACTTTCCTGATACTTAATAACTTTTAACAATCGCTCAGTTTCCGCCATGTTGACGTTTTGATTTATAAACGTATGTGCATTCGGGTCGCGTACACCCCAGGAAAAATATGTACAAATTACCATAATACGTAATAAATGCCTTACATTATAGCACGAGTGTATTATTATTCCGTTGTCATCCGTGAATGTGCGCTCTTTTGTCTCCTTGATTTACGGACGATAATGTCTGACGGGTGTTTTAATTAATTAACGGACGATTCACGAACACTCGGTATTTTTGTATTTCGCTACACTTTAATGGACTGAAGCTATTTTAACGCGATTTATATTGGCGACTTGAGCTTTTTTTTTGTAATTAATTAGCGTGGGTGTTGTATTAATTTAAAAGCCAACACACACCCACACACATCAAAGCAGCAAAATTCAAACACAAAAAAATGTCGAATCCGTATCACTACTGATATTACAGCACGCTTGAACTGGATTTCGGAGCATTACACTCTACGCCCACTGTGAATTTAAATCAGATAATTATTTTAGCAAAATGAACTCGCCGTGTCTCATTTTTAATTCTGGGTGGATCGAATTTCGCGTCCGCGCCCCGTCGTATTATATTTTATCTCATGAAATTATTCCGTCCTTGTAGGAGCGGCCGTACGTGATGGTGAAAGATGAGAAAAATTTAACCGGAAACGCCAGATACGAGGGATTTTGCATAGACCTATTGAAATGGATCGCAGGCCAAGTCGGCTTCCAGTATACGATTCGGCTAGTTCCAGACCACATGTATGGAGTATACGACCCGGATACGAAGGAGTGGAACGGGATCGTCCGGGAGCTCATGGAGAAGGTGGGTGAGGGAGAAGTTCGGAATTTAGTTTCTGAATTGAAAAAATTGGATATTTTAATTGGGGTTTTTGCCATGTGGTGCGTTCGTTATGCGCTGTTTGACTGAAAACTGAAATCTCTATGTGGTTAATTAGTGGCGGGTTTTATTAGCGAGTTTGTTATTGGAGTGAATTATTTTTGTGTTTATTTTTAGTTTTAAAATGGGTAATTAGCAAATTTGTGATGGTAAATGTATACAAAGCTGAATTTTTACTCTGTTTTCAAAAAAGAAAAGAAATGTGCTGCAGGAGTTTCAGGAGCTTTTACAATTATTATTTTTATTTTCAACGTTTTATAACTCGTAGATTATGAAAAAGTAGGTCTCGCATTTCCGCCTATCTGTAGTCTGCCTCCGTTTGACCTTCTATTAGACAAACTGAATTAACAAAAATAATAAAAATTTTCAGAAACTACTGGACTTCTTGTTATGAAAGTTTGGGCATATGGTTACTGATCAAAATCTTGTTTGTCCGCCCCAAAAACATGATCTTAAAATTTTACTAGATAAATCCTATTGGTTTTCAATTGTGGTTTTACCGTATTCATATTTCTTATCTTTGCCTTTCTTTTTCTGTTTTTTGTTTTTGTTCTTTTTTGGCGATTTTATGACTCTCTTTAGTCGCATTTTTTTCCCGTTTGTTGCTTTTTTTAATTCCTTCTTTGTCACTTTTTCGTTTTACGGTTTATATCCTGTTTTCTTCGCAATTTTTGCTCGTTTTTTAATCGAATTTTTGGTTGCTAGTTTTTAACTCTTTGTGTCTTTTTTTTTAACGTTTTGATGTTTCTTTTTTTATTTTTTTTTCTTCGCTTTTCTTCTTCTCTCTTTTTTCTTCATTGTACTCTTTTTTTATCGTAATTTTTTGAAGCTTTTATTGCTTTTAACTCCTTTTTGGTCATGGACTTTAACCTCGTTTTATGGCTTTTTTGTAGCATTGCTTTTTTGTTTCCTTTTCAGTACTTTTTTTAGTCGCGTTTTTCATCGTCTCTTTTTTCTGTTGTTTTTTTTTTCGTGTATTTTGTAACATTCTTTTGAAGTTCTTTTGTCACTTTTTTCACCTTTTGTGTCTGGGTCATCTTTCCATCGCATTTTTTAATTGTTTATTAAATATTAACAACTGTTTTTAGCTGCCTTTTCTGCCCGACTTTTTTATTTTTTGTTGCAGTCTTTTTTTGTCGCATTTTGGTTGCTTTTTTACTGTTTCCTTAAAATCACTTTTTGCCACGAATCTTTGAACCGATTTTTCGCCTTTTCTTAGTGTTTTTTGAAGCGTTTTGATGTTGTTTTTTTGGTCCATTTTTGGTATTTTTGTTGTATTTTTTTTTAATTCTCTTGTCGTGTTTTTGTAGCGTTCATTTATGGTTTTCTATCGCTTTTTCTGCCCTTTTTAATTTTTATTTTAGTCGACTTTTTGTTTCCTCGTTTATTGCATTTTTTGTTGTTTTTTTTTAAACCATTTGTTCCGTCACATTTTTGTTGTCGTTTTTTGGTTGCATATTTTTTTTTAGAAAATTTTTTTATTTTGCTTTTGACCCATTTTTTATCGTCTATTTCATCGCCTTTTTTTTCTCATTTTTGCAGTCTTTTTTGATGTCCTTGTTTGTCAGTTTCTTTGTCTTCTTTTTCTAACGCCTTTTTTTCGTTCTTTTTATCATCGTTTTTGTGGCAGTTTTATTGATTTTAAAATTTCATTGTCTTTTTATCGCCTTTTTTTGTACTCTTTTTATAAAGCGTTTTGATATTGCTTTTTTCGTCCCATTTTTTTAGTCCTTTTTCTAATCTCTTTTTGTCTATTCGCTTCTTTTGTCGTTTTTATGTCCCCTTTTAATGTCTTTCTTGTCGCAGTTTTTCTGATATGGCTTTTGGCCTTTTCCTATCACGTACTTCGTCACCTTTTTATGAAGTGTTTTGATATTATATTGCTCTTTTCGTCCAGTTTTTTTTTCACCTTTTTTTTAATTCTTTCCTATCGTCTTTTTTTCTGTGCTTTATTGTCGCTTTTTTATGGTACGTTTAACGTCATCTCTGTGTTGCATTTTTTAGTCTCCTATAGTCTTTTTTTCCTTCTTATTTTTTGTTATCTCCCTTTTTTGGCGTTTTTTGGTCCATTTTTGCGACATTTTGTTGCTTTTTATTGTTTTTAAGCGCTTTTTGACATGGATTTTGTCTCCTTTTTCACCATTTTTTTGTATGTTTTTTAATTTTTAATCGATGTTTTTATAGACTTTTTTCCTATTTGGCTTCTTTTATCGTGCTTTTTATAGTTTTTTTTTGTGTGTTTTTATGGTTTTCTTTCCACCCTTTTATTTCTAACTTTATTTATAGCTTATTGTATTACTTTTTTGTCCCGTTTTTTTTTCGTTACTTTTTTTCAATTCTTGTCGACTTTTTTTATCCACTTGTATTTGTCATTTGTTTTTGTCTCAATTTTTTGCGGCTATTTTGTTTTTTAAGCGCTTCTGGTCATGGGTTTTGGTCCCCTTTTTATGACATTTTTCCTCCTTTTTTGAAGTATTGTGTTTTGGTCCATTTTTTTTGTACTTTTTTCATCGCTTTTGTTCTTTTTCTTTTTTACTTGGTTCCTTTTGTCGTATTTTTAACAACAATTTTTTCTAGCTTTTCTGTTGCTTTGTTTGCGACCTTTTTGGCCTATTTTTTTGCTTCTTCTTTTGTTGCTTTCATTTGTGGCTTTCTATTGCTTTTTTTATAGGTTTATTGATCGTTTTTTTACAGCTTTCTGTAACGTTTTCTGCTTTTTAATTCCTCTTTAGTTGACTTTTTTGGCTAATTGTTTATCGCCTTTTTTTGTCTTTTTTTTACTCACCTTTTTTTGTCACATTTTTGTTGTCTTTTTTGTCGCAATTTTTTTTTATATCGCTTTTGACCTCTTTTTTATGACCTATTTCGTAGCCCTTTTTTGATGTCTTTTTTGTCAGTTTGTTTGTCTTCTTTTTCTATCGCTTTTTTTAGACGTTTTTTTGTGTTGCGTTTTATGTCAACTCTGTCTTGCATTTTTTTAACATTTTTTTAATCGCCGCAGTTTTTGTTGAATTTTTGTCGTTTTTTATCGTAATTGTGGCATTTTTTGTCGCATTTTTATTGCTTTTAGGACTGCATTGCCTTTTTATTGCCTTTTTGTGGTATTTTCATAAAACGTTTTGATATTGCTTTTGTCGTCCCACTTTTATATATTTTTTTAATCTTTTTTTGGTTTGTGCCCTTTTCTTACCTTTTTTTCAGGTTTTTTTGTAGTCTTTGTATGTTCCTTTTTTTTGATACTTTTTAATCGATGTTTTTATTGACTCTTTTTTTCTGTTTGACTTCTTTTCTCAAATCATGTTGATCAAAATATATTAAAAATTGCATATTATGCGCTAATACAATCTCACTTAGTATATGGTATACTAATCTGGGGACACAGCGCCTCGTCACAAAACCTTTTTAGGCTTCAAAGAAGAGCTATTAGAATCCTTTCAGGTATTGGTTATCGTAATGATTGCAAATTTTCATTTCAATCCTTAAATATTTTGACATTGCCCTGCTTGTATATCTATCACTGTTTTAAATTTTTAGTAAACCAAATTAATCAATTTCCTACACTGAGTTCTTTCCATGACTATAATACCAGGTCCACAAATTTGTTAATCGAAAATTTGAGAATAAACCGTTGCAGAACTGCCAGGAACTATTTCTGTATAGTGTTCTTTAACAAATTACCTCAGAGTTTCCGCAACCTTCCACCATCTCAATTTCTAAAAAAAATCAAGGATGTCTTAACCGAAAATAGTTTTTATAGTTTCAATGAATATTTTCAATATAATTTTGAGTAATTTCTTGTTTATCATGTAGCTAGCTCATAATCTACATAAGTATTGTATTGCATGGTTTTTATGTTTATTTTTACTATTACATTCTTGTAAACTTTGGACGAGTGTATAAACTTTATGTTTTTAGCACAATAAAATTACTTACTTACTTACTTACTTACTTACTTACTTTTGTCGTGTTTTTTATAGCTTTTTGTGCTCTTTTAATCACTTTTTCTGCAGCCTTTTATTTCTAGGTTTATTTATAGTTTTTTTATTAGTGTTTATCGCGTGTTTTCTCCGTTACTTTATTGCAGTTTTGTCGATTTTTTTGTCCCCTTTTTTATCTGTCTTCTTTGTCACTTTATGTATCAAAATTTATATCGTTTTCTTAATCGCATTTTTTAATAATTTGTTATTATTCGTCTTTTTACTTTTTATTTGTCCTTTTTTTGTCGTCTGTCTCAATTTTCTTTCGCTTTTTTTGATTGTTTTTAAGCACTTTATGTCATGGCGTTTGAAGTATTTTTTTTGTTGTACTTTTTTCATCGCTTTTGTTGTCGTCTTCTTTTTTTGTTGATTCCTTTGTCGTATTTTTAATAACATTCTTTTGTGGCTTTTTATCTCCTTTCATTTTTAGGTTTATTTGTAACTCTTTTATTGCTTTTTTGTCGTTTTTTATTTTTTTAATTCATTCTTTTACAATTTTTTTGTCCCTTTGTTTATCGCCTTTTTTGACGCTTTTTTTCCTCACTTTTTTGCTACGTTTTGTATTGAGTTTATATCATCTTTCCGTGTCTTTTTTAAGTATCTATTATTATTCGACTATTTGTCGCCTCTTTCCCCCCGACTATTTCCTAATTTGTTATTGTCGCTTTTTTGTCGTGTTTCTTTTTGTCGCCTTCTTTTCTCTTCGTCCCATTTTTTGTGGTCATTTGTGTCGAGAGCCTCAGAGATCAAGAACTACCATTTTTTGAAAATAAAGTTTCTAGATTATTTATTGTCCAGCCATTAGGTAAATAAAAGAAACAAAAATCACGTCTAAATGTAATCTTGAAAAAGACCGTTTTTTAACTGAAGAACTGCAACACAAAAATAACGCACAAATCAGTAGAACCTTAAAAGTAGCAAATCGAGTTCTTCTTTCTCAGCAATCTTGTTTAAAATCGCTTCTCCATAGCGTCTTTATTTCCTCCAATTTTCGTGTTGTTTTTTTATACTTTTTTTGTAAAAATGCGTCACTCCAACAAAAACGCCGATAAACCCTCCCCCAAATCCACCCCCCGTCCCTCTTGTTGCGACTCCCACTCACGCAGCCCGTTTTCACCGCTTCCTCTTTTGCAGAGGGCCGATCTCGCCGTGGCCTCGATGACGATAAATTATGCACGAGAGAGCGTAATCGACTTCACTAAACCGTTTATGAACCTCGGCATCGGAATTCTATTCAAGGTAAGGCATTCGCCGGCTCTGTGCATGTGCTCGAAGAGAATAAATCAGGCTTTTCTCGGTTCGATAGCCGGGCCGTGACGTCGGCCGTATCTCGATGACATTTTCATCATTTTAACATTGATTAACTATTCATGCAAATTGTCCCCGGCCTCGCCTCGGCCGTCACTCACTCGTCGGACCATTCGGAGCGCTCGCTTTACACTCGAACAACATATTTATGATAGTGGAACCCAGCCGTTATCCAATCACCGCTAATGCCGCTCCGATCGGTTTTGTTTGCTTTGATCCATTTACACGTCCCGGGGAGTAATGTAAGCGGGGAATAACAGATAAATATTTATCTTTTGGTTTAGGGATTTTGCGAGCCGGGAGGGCTGGCTGGTGGTGAAACGTGGGAAAATTCATCGGGATGTTTAGTAGGTCGACGAAATTAGGCGAAGAGGTCGGTCCTCTAGTTGAAGAAAAACCAAGAAAAACTGTCGCTAAACTACGCAAATCCAGTCTCATAAACTAACTTAGACACACGGGATACAACTACACTGAAGTTTGATACCTGAAGTTTTAATCTCTACTTGACCTATTTGAAAGCACTGCATCCTTTGACGTTTGCCGTATTCTAAAGTTATGTGTCGCATACATAACTCGAAAACTTCATCTTTCACTTTATTTCGTATAAAACTTCAGACTATCCCTAATTCAAGTCCAGCGCTTCCCAAAATGCGGCTTGATTTTCTAAATACATACAAGAGCAAAAATGTTTAAAAGTTTGGAAGCGCTGCTCTAGCATGAATACAAAAAGCCGAGTGCATTTGCATGACACAATGTCCCCTTTCATAATTCGCTTGTTGTTCTTTTAAAAATGCAATTTATTCTGCACCCGCAACGACGGTCATTTCTGCAACCGTCTCGAAATTATAAAATCCCAAAGTGCATCCTCTGAATGCACAATGCATGTCTAAAACGCAATAAAAAAATTTTGTTTGCATTATTTGTAATGAAGTCGTGGCAAAAAATGCAGCCACAAACTTTCCATCACGATGGATGGAGTGTTAATAAATGATTTAGGGGGCTGTGAACTGACTTGTCAAAAAGTTTTGATATTTTATTTTTTTAATTTTTCGATTTTTTCAATTTTCCGATTTTTCAGCTTTTTGATTTTTCAATGTTTCGACTTTTCAATTTATCGTTTATTCAATTTTGTTTTGTTTAAGTTTTTGATTCTTTAATTTTTCTTAGATTTTTTTCAGTTGCTCAGTTTTTCCAATCTTCGGTTTTTTCATTTCTTAAATTTTAGATTTTTATTTTTTCAATTTCCCGTTATTTTGATTTTTCAGTTTTTCAGTTTTCAAATTTTTGAGCTTTATCAATATTTCGATTTCCCGATTTATCAAGATTTCCATGTGTCGATTTTTTTTAATTTAAATTTTTCATTTTTTTAAATTTCAATTCTTCAGATTTTAATTTTTCAATTCTTCGATCTTGGGCTTTTTCAATATTTCCATTTTTGGATGATCGATTTTTTGAAGTTTTAGTTTTCCAATTTGTGTTCTATCTTACGCTTTGTAGGTTTTTCGATTTTTCGGCTTTTCGCTTTTCGATTTTCCCATTTTTTCGATTTTTAAAATTTAGATCTTTTGGTTTCTCGATTTCTCGTTTTTCAATTTTTGATTTTTTTTATTTTACGATTTTCTTATTTTCCAATATTTCAATTCTCCGTTGTTTCAAATTTTCCATTCCTCGATTTTTCAGGTTTCGATTTCTCAGTTTTTCGATTTTTTAATTTTCGACTTTGGGATTTTTCATTTTTCAATTCTACAATTTTTGGAATTCTTAAATTTAATTTTTTTAATTTAATATTTTCGTTTTTCAATTTTCCGCTATTTTGATTTTTCAATTTTTCGATTTTTCAATGTTTCGAATTTTTAATTTTATCAATTTTTCGGTTTCTCGATTTATCAAGAGTTCCATGTTTCGATTTTTTAAATTTAAAAGTTTCAGTTTTTTAAATTTTAATTTTTCGATTTTGGGCTTTCTTAAAAAAATTTTTCTTATCCAAATGTTCGATGTTTCGATTTCTAGGTTTTTTGATTTAACGATTTTTCGGATTTTAACTTTTCGTTTTTCCAATTTGTTGATCTTTCGATTTTTCAACTTTTCGATTTCCAGTTTTTCACTTTTTTTAAATTCAGATTTTTCGAGGTTTCTTTGATTTTAAGTTTTTCGATTTTCCAGCTTTTGTTTTTATTTAAATTTTACATCCTCCGTTTTTTCAAAATTTTCAACACTAATTTTTCTATGTTTCGATATCTCAGTTTTCCGATGTTTTAATTTTTCGATTTTTCCACTTTTTGGCTTTTTGCTTTTCGATTTTCCAATTTTTTAATATTTCGATTTCTCCGTTTTTCGATTTTTCAAATTTATATTTTTCGATTTCTCATTTCTTTGATTTACTGTTTTTCGATTTTCCCGTTTTTGTTTCTTTTTTTAAGTTTTTCGATTTTCCGGTTTTTGTTTCTTTTTTTTATTAATTCTACAGATTTCGATTTTACGATTTTTTAACTTTTCAATATTCCAATTCTGTTTTTTCAAATTTTTCATTTCTCGTTTTTTCCATGTTTCGTTTTCTCAGTTTTTTGATTTTGTAATTTTTCAACTCTTCGGCTTTTCGATTTCTCAAATTTTCAGTTTTAACATTTTCGATTTTTCCATTTTTCAAATTTGCGAATCGTCCACATTCGAATTTTTTTAATAATTCTTTACTTTTCAGTTTTTCGATTTTAGAATTTTTGAGTTTTTAACTTTCAAAATTTCGTTTTTTCTGTACTTATTTTGATTCTTGGAACTTTCGAAATCTTGACTTTCGAGTTTTTTAATTTCCTTTTCTGATACATCGACTTTTCGATTTTTCGATATTCAAATTTTGAATTTGTTTTTTGTTCGATTTCTAGATTTTTCAATCCTTCGGTTCTTTAAATTTTCGATATTTTGATTTTCTACTTTTTGATTTTTCGTTTTCCGGTTTTATTTTTTATTTTCCCGACTTTTTAATTTTCATTTTCCAGATTTCATATTACAATTTTTATTATACATTTTTTCAATGTTTCTTTCGATTTTATAATTTTTCATTTATTCAATTTTTCTAATATTCATTCTTTGGTTTTTAAATCCCTCGATTTTCCTATTTTTGGATTTCCAATTATCCGATTTTCCGATTTCATGAATTTTCAATATTTCGATTTTATTCAATTTTGCACTTTTTGCATTTTTAAGTTTCTTAATATTCAATCTTTCGATTTTTCAAAATTTTCACTCCATACTTTCTCGATCTTTCAATTTTACAATTTTGTGATTTTTTAATTTTTTGATTCAAAAAGTGAAAATACAAAAATTGAAACATCGAAAAATTAAAAATTGAAAAACTAAAAAATTGGAAATTATTGAAAAATCGAAAAAGCAGAAATTCGAAAAATTCCAGAAACGAAAAATTGAAACATTGAAAAAGTAAAAATCGAGAATCTTGAAAATAAAAAAAAGAATCTAAAAATTGGAAAAAAGAAAAACAAGTCAAAAAAAATTGGAGAACCCAAAAATTGTTAAATCGAAAAAACATAGTATCGTCAAAATTGTAAAGTCGAAACATTGTAACATTGAAAGATAGAACATCTGAAAAATTCATATAGAAATTCAAAAATTAAAACTCAAAATACTGAAAGCTCCAAAAATTGAAAAATTTCACATTGAAATAAAGAAAAATAAAAAAAATAAAAAACGAAACTGAAAATTCAAATCAAAAATGTGAAGAAATAAAAAATTGGAAAAACTAAAAACTGAAAAATTGCAAAATTGAAGAACTGAAACATCCAAAAATTAGAAAATAGAAAAACTGACAAATTTTCAAAGGAAAACTGGAAGAGATGCATGTCGTAAAATTGAAGAAACAAAAAAAATGAAAAATTGAAAAAACGAACAATTGCAAAAATTTAAATTGTAAAAACAAGAAAATAAAGAACTGGAACATTGATTGCAAATCAAAACTTTGAGGAAATGAAAAATTAAAAAAAAATGGAAAAATTGAAAGCTTGAGAAATTGTAAATCGAAAAATTGCAAAATCACAAATCGAAAAATTGAAGAAACGAAAAACTAAAAATATGAAAATTGAAAAACAAAAAAATATACATTCTAAATATTGAAAAATCGAACAATTGAAAAATAAGTAAAATGAAAAACTCAATCGAAAAATGCAAAATCCAAAAATTAAAAAATGCAAAAGCTTGAAAATTGAAAAACAGAAGAATTTAAACTTAAACTCGAGAAATTGTCAATCAAAGGACTGAAGAAACAAAAAAAATGAAAAATTGGGGAGTTAAAAAATTCAAGTCAAAACAGTTTTTCAGTTTTTATTAATTTTCAAAGAAGTAATATTTTCAGGAAGTACCAATTTTAAAAATGATCATTTTATTCCGTCCAAGGTCAAAGATCAAATATGGTTTGTTTTCTTGACCAAACCCAATTACTTTTAATAATGTCAGAAACATTAAAAAAAAATCAATCTCTTCGCGAAATCTAAAAATAGAACCGGACTTGCTGCGGTCAAAATATGAACGTAGATAATGTACTCGTAGATACTAGAAGTTTCAAATTTGTATTTTTTTCTCAACATAAGTATTTCAGGGGCCAAAGTAGACAAATTTCAAGCAATTTTCCCCCAGGAACTTAAATCTTCCCTTACATTTTCTACTGTAAGAGTACGAAAAAATGAATCTCCCAAACCACCAGATGTAAATCATTTATTAACACCCTCCACTTCCGGTTCAAGGCTTCCACCGCGCCCCGACTTCTTTTTCCTTTTTCGCGAATGACGTCGCTTGCGGGATTCCACCGGAAGGGTTTCCACCTTCGGTCCGGTGAAAAGCGGGCTGGCGGTGACGAAAGGCCCGGAAATTAAAACTCACGTATGGAAAATATTTGCGAGTAATTAAATCCCTGCTCGGAGTGTAATGTTTAATTTCCGTTTCCTCGACACGCGCGTTATTAAAACGCGACAAAGCGTCCGATTGCCGTAATTGAACGATAAATTTGGAAATTTTGAGGATTAGGAGTGATGTAACGGCGGCGGCGGCGGCGGTTCGAGCAAGGCGCGTTAATTCTGTATTCATGGAAAATTATTGAGGTTATTTGGAATCTCCGAAGACGTTATGCCACGAGCATGCTTTTCTTAATCCCAAAGTAGTTGTTAAATTTATTGCATGGTCCCTCCGAGAGCTTAATTTATTTAAATTGGTGCTGTGCTCGGCCGAGCCACAACAGATTTTATTACGTTTGCAATAAAATTTATTTTAGGATTCGCGGGAATTGCATGCGGTTTATTTAGGAGGTGGGCGCCGAATCGGTCGGTGCCACAGAGGTACGAGTACCGATCCGGAATCTCGAAATTAGCTCAACAAGTCCGACGGCATTAATTCGGTCCCTGACCGCACGCAACACGCATGAATAATTACGCACGACCGAGGCGCGGGCGGCGGTGGTCAGACGCCGCCGCCGCGCCGCCGCCTCCCGCAAAAAGCGCTTCCGCACGCCGCCAAAAGTGGATTTGAAACATTAATCCGCGACCGGCGCGTCTCCATTATTCACGGCTGGGTTTGGAATTTTTAGGTGCCGACGTCGCAACCGACGCGGCTCTTCAGTTTTATGAACCCCTTAGCCGTGGAGATTTGGCTGTACGTCCTCGCGGCGTACATGCTGGTGTCGTTCACGCTCTTCGTGATGGCGAGATTCTCGCCGTACGAATGGAACAACCCTCATCCGTGTCATCAGGAATCAGACATTGTGGAGAACCAATTCTCGGTCTCCAATAGTTTCTGGTTTATAACTGGAACATTTTTACGGCAGGGATCCGGACTGAATCCGAAGGTTTGAAGAGATGTTTTTGGGGGCGAGGGGGCGGCTGCGAGCTGCCGTGTAGGCGGAAATGGCGGTTTCAGTTTTGCATCTGGGGGTGAATGCGGATTATGCACACGAAATTACGGACAATTACAGGGTGAATTTTGAACAATTATTTCGAACAAAGCGACGTGTGTATTGCATCCACATTTCGGAATGATCACGGTGTGATTTTTAGGTTATACCGGTGCTTCTGTGTTGGTTTATTATTTGCGTTGACACTTGTAAAAAAAATTTATTTATTTATTTTTTTATTGCCTCCAAAACTTGCCGACAAAGAAAAGATGAAAAGTTTCTCTAAAAAAGACAATATCGACAAAATTGTACTACAATTTTTTTCAATTTGTGTAATAAACTACAAATACATATATTGGCGTTCTAAAATATATATAGACTTTATTCAATTTGAAAATATAAGAATTCATTTCTCCCTCAATTAACCACCCACAGGAAAAATAAAGGCAGATTCCTGATCTTGAGAAAATTTCTCTTCAGATAGATGCTTTTTCTGAAAAAAATTTGATCGTTTTCAAATTTGGTGAAAAATTTATGTCATGCCCTACAAGACACATAAGAAGAGATTTGTGATACAGATTAACATAGGTCTTCCCGGGATGATTTAAACAGCTTTAAATTTTTTTGTAGGAATGGTGGAGACGCCAGAATAAAAATTTATTTCTCTCTTATTTGAGGACCTACGAGAAAAATAAACTTTGATTCATGTTCCTGAGAAAATTTCATTTTAGAGAGAAGCTATTTTCGGAGGATTTTAGCAACTTCAATTAAACTTTTATGAAAAAATAGTGGAAGCGCCAGAATAAAAATTTATATCTGTCTTATTTGACGACTTACAAGGAAAACAAGTATATTTTCGTGATGCTGGGGAATTTTCAGTTCAGATAGATCCTTTTTTTGGAACAGTTGAAAACTTTTAAATTTTTGTGGAAAAATGGCGGAGGCGCCATAATAAAAAATTATGTCTGTCTTATTTGACGACCTACAAAGAAAACAAGGATCTTTTCGTGATCCTGACGAAATTTCAGTTCAGAGAGGCTATTTTCGAAGGATTTTAGCAACTTTAAAGTTTTATGAAAAAATGGTGGAGGCGCCAGAATAAAAATTTATATGTCTTATTTGACGCCTTCCGAGGAAAACAAGGATATTTTCGTGATCCTGAGGAAATTCCAGTTCAGATAGATCCTTTTTTTTTGGAACATTTGAGAAACTTTTAAATTTTTGTGGAAAAATGGTGGAGGCGCCAGAATAAAAAATTATTTCTCTACGATTTGACGACCTATAAGGAAAATAAAGATAGATTCATGATCTTGAAGAAATTTCAGTTCAGAGAGGCTATTTTCGGAGGATTTTAGCAACCTTAAAATTTTATGAAAAAATGGTGGAGGCGCCTGAACAAAAATATAATTGTGTCCTATTTGACGACCTACAAAGGAAAATGAGGATAGATTCGTGATCCTGAGAAAATTTCTGTACGGAGAGAAGCTATTTTCAGAGGAGTTTAGCAACTTTAAACTTTTATGAAAAAATGGTGGAGGCGCCAGAATAAAATCTTTTATATCTGTCTTATTTGACGACCTCCGAGGAAAACAAGGATATTTCCCTGATCCCGAGGAAATTTCAGTTCAGGTAGATCTTTTTTTTGGAACATTTGAGAAACTTAAATTTTTTTGTGGAAAAATGGTCGAAGCGCCAAAATAAAAATTGATTTCTGTCTTGTTGGACGGCCTACAAGAAAAATAAGGATAGATCCGTGATCCTGAGGAAATTTCAGTCAGATAGATTCCTTTTTGGAACATTTGAGAAATATTTCTCTATAATTTAAGGACCTATAAGGAAAATAGAGATAGATTCGTGATCCTGAGAAAATTTCTGTTCAAAGAGAAGCTATTTTCGGAGGATTTTAGCAACTTTAAACTTTTATGAAAAAATGGTGGAGGCGCCAGAATAAAAATTTATTTCTGTCTTATTTGACGACCTACAATGAAAACAAGTATAGATTCGTGATCCTAAGGAAATTTCATTTGAGATAAGACCGTTTTTTTTTGGAACATTTGAGAAACCTTAAATTTTTGTGAAAAGATCGAGGAGGCGAAAGGATAAAAATTTATTTCTCTCTTATTTAATGACGTACAAGAAAATTAAGGATAGATTCGTTATTCCGAGAAAATTTTAGGTCACAGAGACGTTATTTTCGAAGGATTTTAGCAACTTTCAACTTTTATGAAAATATGGTGGAGGCGCCAGGACAAAAATTTATTTCTGCCTTATTTGACGACCTACAAGAAAAATACGAATAGATTCGTGATCCTGAGGAAATTTCAGTCCAGAGAGAAGCTATTTTCGGAGCATTTAAGCAACTTTTAATTTCTATGAAAAAATGGTGGAGGCGCTAGAATAAAAATTTATTTCTGTCTTATTTGACGACCTGCAAGGAAAACGAGAATAAATTCTGATTCTCAGAAGATTGCAATTCAGAGACAAGCAATTTTCGGAGAATTTTAGCAACTTTCAAGTTTTATGAAAAAATGGTGGAGGCGCCAGAGCAAAAATTTATTTCTGGCTTGTTTGACGACTTAAAAGAAAAATAAGGATATATTCCTGAACCTGAGAAAATTTCAGTTCAGAGAGAAGCGAAACTTTAAATTTTTATGAAAAAATGGTGGATGTGCAAATATAAAAATTTATTTCTCTCGTGTTTGTCAACCTACGAGAAAAATAAGGATAAATTTGTGATCATGAGAAAATTTTAGTTTATTTCTCAATTATTCGACGACCCACGAAGAAAATAAGTACAAATTCGTGATCTTGAGAGAATTGGAGCTCAGATAAAAGCAACTTTTGGTGGATTTTAGCAACTTTAAACATTTTGAAAAAATTTTAGAGGCGCCAGAATAAAAATTTATTTCTCTCGTATTTGAGAACCTACAAGAAAAATAACGATAGATTCGTGATTCTGAGGAAATTTCAGTTCAGAACGAGGCTATTTTAGGAGGATTTTAGCAACTTTCAAGTTTTATAAAAAAAAGTGGTGAAGGCGCCAGAATAGAAATTTATTTTTCCCTTATTTGACTATCTGCAAGAAAAATAAGGATAGATTTATTATCCTGAGAAAACTTCACTTCAGAGAGAAGTTGTTTTAGGAGAATTGGAGCAACTTTTAACTTTTGTGAAAAAATGGTGGAGGCGCCAGAAAAAAATATTTCTTCGTTACTTGACAACCTATAAAAATAAGGACAAATTCGTGATCCTGAGAAAATTTCAGTTCAGAGAGAAGTTTTTTCGCAGGATTTGAGCAAGTTTCAACATTGGTGAAAAAATGGTGGATGCGCCAGAATAAAAATTGATTACTCCCTTAAGTGGTCACCTACAGATTCGTGATTCTGAGAAAACTTCAGTTCAGAGAGATCGTTTTTTTCAGAAAATTTAAACAAATTTCAATTTTTGTTTTAAAATGAAAAAAATAACAACAGATTCGTCATTCTCAAATAACTTCGGTTCAGAGAGATGAATTTTCTGGAAAATTTGAATAACTTTCAAGTTTAGGTAAAAATGAATCTCGTTGTTATTCAAGAACGTGCAGCAAGAATTAGGAGAGATTAGTTACGTTTTAAAATAATTTGCGCCCTTGGATAAAAATCCATCGTAATCTATTAATTATTTAAAGAGTAACAACATAAATAAACACAATTTTATAATGCCGGTAATACAGACGGCTTTTTGAAATAATTTAAGCAACATTAATATTTTGCTTTTATAGCTTCCAAGTCCCACTCTGACGAAAAAGATCTTATTATCCCCAAAAAATCTCAGTGAACACTTCTATCTGCTCTGAATGAAAGGTGCATTTTATACTGAATAGAAATCAAATTAGAAGAATTGAATATAGGTAGCCATTTGAAAAGCACCTTGTGGACATGAATTGTTTAATTTGTTACAAGGGAACTAAAAAATTGTATGCAAAATTGCGAAACTGGATTTTTAAACAAAAAAAAAGCAGGAAAAGTATAGAACAGCAATTTTGTTCGAAAATAAAAAATGCTAGAAGGCCACTTATGTCATTAAAATAATTCTTGTAGCACGAATTACCTTCTCATTTTATATCGGAATCCAATTCAGGCTAACAATGTACTAAAAAAAAACGTAATAGGCAGTACTTAAATTTTATTAAACAACTTGCTCCATCTAAAAAAATGCGTAGATATTATGTATGTTGTTAAAATATACATTTGTGCATATTTTAACAACTTACGAACTGCAAATATCCCCCCCCAAAAAATGCAGTTTTGAAACGCTGCCCCTTTTTGAGTTCAAAAACCCTCTTCCACGCCATCAGACCTCGCGTTTATCCGCCCCGATCTACTATTTCCAGTTTTTTGTTTGTGCAAAAACCTTTTACCGCAAAATCCCCGCCGAATCCCATACGTGTAAATTCGCCCGATCGCGTGTGAAATTTAAACTCGCTGCATCGTCTACAGTTTTATGGAAAAATAACGGGTGAATACCTATAAATATGTGATATTGTATCGAGGCGGAAACGAGAGGGATTGCGCTTTATTGCTTGTCGTCGAGCTTCGGAGGTTTCTACAAATGTATGTGTTCGTCTAGTAAATAACGAGGGGGTTTTGTTTGATTCGAGAATAAAACACGGATTTCGGTGGGCTTTTCGTACACGGTAACACGTGCGGAAAATAACTTTTTTTTCGAGTAGTGTTTTTGGGATAATCTTTCGGAAAATAACAAACAGAAACATGACTTCACTCCCTGAAGGAATCTTGAAAGTTCGATCGATTTAAAATTAGCAAAGCTCGCTGTTTAAAAAATGTGACTTCGCTGTTTTTCGTTTCTCGATCTGAATACGCGTTGATTTTCCACATTAGAAAACACACGTGCAACGTCTCCGACTGCTGATGTAAGCATCGGTGGCATCATTTCGCCGCCTGAAATACTGAAAT